GTTCAGGCGGCAGAATCCAAGTCTGTCAAAGAGAAGAGGGTATTTATGCAGTTCACTGAGCCAAGCATGTCGGAACTTGAGCTGAAAAATGTCATTCATGTGCTCAATGGCGAAGCTGAGGTGGCTTGGAGCTCTGATCTAGCCACACATTGGGCTGTGCGGATGATACCCACATTTGATCCTAGTCCGGGACATGTTGTACCATTCCTCAGACGCTCTGAAGATGAGATACCGAGCTTAGATATCTACGGCTTCGTAGATTACTTGTTTTGTATCAATAGCCTGCTGGAGCCCACAAATTTTGGTGACATGGCCTGGATGGACAAGTGGTAAGAAGAGTTCACACAACAAAAAGACACCGTGCTGATTGTTATAGCCCCTTTCAAGAAAAACTGTTGGAGCATCTATTCAACAATCTGCTCACTCATGTGGACGAGAAAAATATTTCCATCAACAGTGCTGCTGACATCTTGGAGCTGACTTGGAAGATAGCAACTAAGGATGGAAGAGATCTGTTGCGTATACATGTTCCTGCTGTCCAGTTGAGGCCAGCAATATACCACTTTTGTGAGGCATTCCCCCAAGGGGATGATGAGCTTAGAGATGTTGCTGGATGGTTCTATACTGTGATACAGGCTTCGTGTTTCATAAAACCATGGGATCCACGGGATAGTGTTTGTGATGGAGATTCAACTTGGATATACACAGCCCTGGACTGGGTCCAGGTCTATTCTGAAATTGGAAAGTGGGACAGCAAAACCAGCACTGGAGTTGCAGGACTTTTCAATGCCCTCATGCATTATGAAGCTCCTCCTGTAGATAAGCATGTGCCTCTACTTCTGCAAGGTCTTTCAACTCCTGGGGATATCTCTACATGTGCAGCTCTGCTTCTTCTGGATGACCGTACTGTCTGTTGGTTCCAAGATGATTTCCTAAGTCCCATCCTGAGGAATGCCTCTGTGTGGTCAAAACTTGTGCACAAGTCACAGCATCTTCCATTCAACCGGTTGAATCGTAACTGGTACTTTGCAGATCATTTTATCTGCCTAGGATTTTCTCTCGCTTCCATCCCAGAGTGGCGACCATCAATGTCTAAAGACCTTTTCCCCTGGGTGGCCACCTTTTTCAAGCCTGATTTTGCACCTCTTAATAAGCATGTTGATTATTACAACTTTGTCCTTACAACAATTTGGAAACCGGACTTGGGTAGATATGAGCCAACTAATGACAATGAAAAAGCTCTGGCTTTAACCTTCGTTGCTTTGAGAAACGGCTGGGAGCAACTCATCCTTGTCACCTCCGAGTCAGCAGCAAGAATACTGGATGCATTGCGCTGCACCAACAGGATAGTGTTCAATATCCGAGCACAACGCATCACCCAGCCCTTCATGGCTGCTTTTTACCTGCCTCTTCATGACATCCTTATCCGAGCATCAGAAACAATGAAACTGCATCTTCCCACTGCAAACCTTGTAATTGATGCCAGGAATATGTTTGAAGACAAGAGAAAAGTCCTTGCAGTTGCTGTGAGAATCCTGGAGAATATAATCGGCCGGATGCCTAAATCACCGGAGGATATACAGAAGCACGAGTCTGCCGCCAGAAAACGTCGACAAAATCTATACCAATACTGGGAAGACATGCAAGCACAGTCTGACCAGGAAATCTGGGAATTGGAAAAAACTCTAAATAAGGAGCAGGAGCAGGATAGTGTATAATTAAAAGGTCCCGATGAAGAACATACAGGTACTTTACTATTGTCTACGAGCTTTGAACATAGTTCTATGCCTTGCTTGTCTTTGAGGTGAGAGAGAGTGTGTGCACTATATTTGGGGACCGGTCACCGATTTGGTCGCCAGAGCTCTCACTTGGCTTCTCGGGGAAGAACATGAAGTGGGGGCGGGCAGAGGATGACACACTCAATGAAGATCAGTATCTAAAAAAGGTAAAACCGCTACACATTAGAAGGCTTTACCGATTGCTTCACACCGCTTACACGGAGAATGTGGTCGACCACTTTACCGGCACACCTTACTCGACTCAAGGTTTCAATCTATGACCATCGCTGAACTCTCTCCCTCCCCGATACACAGCAGCAGCATCTCAATCATCGTCTGAATGGGCCCAACTAAAATCCAACTAAAATCCAACCCCGGTAAGTACTATGGTGGTGACTGTAACATACCGCTGCTGTGGAAAGGTCCACTGAATCTGTGTTGTCAAGCAGCTCACAGCAAAATCCGTGGTGTTGTTGTTGACTGGGAGGCTGAAGCTCGAGGCACCTAAAAACGTGACTTAAGTTATTACATCTCGACGAACATAAGAAGGAATTATACCCTGAGACGGCCCAGAAACATGTACGGGCATAAATCATGTATTTTTGTGATTCTTAAGCATAAACAATGCCTCTGGGATAAGTAGATTGCACTCATAGGCTAGTGTAACCAAGCCTAGGATCCTCTGCATGGTGATACTAAGAGGACCAGAGTGAGATCCAAATTGCTGGTTGTATTGTCCAAGATGCGAAAGCTAGACATAACATAAAGGATAAATACCCAAGCCTGGACTACCTAAAAGAGGGAAGTTCTAACTGCACTAGAAAGACCGAGACTGCATAGAAGACATGCAAGGGATACTGTGGAGGCTGAGGGAGCGGACTATCAGAGGTAGACACATCCTAGGACGGATGGGTTCTTACTGGAACATGTCTATTCTTGGTCTTGGGTCTCCTAGGGAGACAGTGACGGTCCTAGGAACTAAGATCTGAGACTCAAAGCTGGCCTATAACATAAAGTTACGTTTTGGGACTGTGGGAATGATTTGCCATGTACGAGGGTCTAATCACCGAGGGTTCAGACGGATCAGAAGGGTCAGAAGGGTCAGGTGACAGACACGTCACGTTGACACTACAAATAAAGACAAAGTGTAGTTGAATTATGGGGATTGCAAGTGCTGTTTGGGCTGCCGCCTTGGTGCGCGCCCTGCCAAAGTAGAACATGTGGGACAATGCAGCGAGCAGGTCTTATAAACCAGCGAGTGTATATTACTCACCAGAGATCGAGGTCATGGTTTTGGCGGGTGCAGACCTGCCTTGCCTAGGACATTAGAAAACACCGACGAGACCATGTGGAGAGCATAAGGGATAATCCAGCGAGTGGATATTATCAAGCATGCCGATCCAGGCATGTCCTAGGGCCGAGTGGCGGGTGCCTAGGGCATTTGGAAATATACCCAATCCAGCAAACCGATCGCACCAAAAGCGATCGGCCCGCCAGACTTCACGACAACTCGACACGGTAGTCGTTTCCTTGGCTGCTGTATGACTCAGGACTTTATCTAGCTCGCTCATTTTCCCTTTATCTCCATATATTTTCTGTAACTGTATATAAAGCTGCCTAGGAGCACTGCAGGTAACAGGATGGGCATGGGTTTGATAGCGTTATATTTATATGAGAGCAGACTTCAGGCCCATGGTACATGAGAGTATACTGCTACGTTATAACTTTGTCAACAAACAACAATACTTATATAGGTTATTTCGTTGGTTACTACGCTGCTGTGGTTGCGGCTGCTGCCGCTGGTGGGATCGTTTGCAATGCTGCTTCTAGCGTGTCGATTTCCTTTCCAACTTGATCAGCCCATGCGTCAAGAGCGACACACTTTTTGTGGTCCTCCTCTGGATCTTCCTCCATCGGGATTTGGTTTGCTGTGTCCTCCAGGATCCTGGCGAAGCTTTCTAAGATTTTCTTCTGCCCCTCGGAGACATCCGGGGAATCAGCTTGGCTGTCTTTCTCAAGTGCATGTCTGACACATGTTTTGTTTTTGAATTTTTCACCGTTGTGAGTGGGACTGCGGTTTCGATATCAAACGGAAATGGGTGGTAAAGGTTCGATAGGGAAAGGTGTTCGTCCAAAGAGGGAGTTAATGAAGTCGCTTTGGAGACTTTGCACCCTGGGTTATTTAATTTGTATTTTTAAGAGATGAGATGGACTCGTGTCCTTCCCAAGCGTTCGCTAAACTAATGGAGGCCCCTTCTTCCGTCCGTTAACTTGCCTTCCTTCGACCTTGGTGTGTGTCCCTTCCTTACACTCCTGCTGAACAAGGACAGCTATCCAGAGGCGATGAGGGTCGTTTCAACACAACAAATCCCGTCGGGGGTTCTCGAGTGTTATGTTTCGGTTCTAAGGGTGGTCGCCGCCCGATATTTCTCCCCTAGATGCCTGTGTATGCCGTTGTTGGAGAGTTGTACGAGTTTTTAACAGCTCGACGTGTCTCGCCGTTCCTTGTTTTCCTCGTCTTTCCCTCCCAAAGCCCTCTTCTTTTCTTATCCGCTCGATATTTCCACCGTTCGACCGAGTGCGCAAAGATACACGCTGCGTGTGCTCTTACAACTGGCTCTGCGACTGCTCTGTTCCTTCTCCGTTCGATAGTTTAAGTGCGGAGGAGGTCGAGGGGAGTTATCGATGATAATGTGGGAGTGGGGTGACTGCTTATGACTCTCCGTGCAGTGTACGGACTATAATCCTGTGTTCGCTGTGCCAAACTGCAAGTGTCGGTGACCTTCGTTCCTCCCTTCGCCGCGGAACCTTCTTCGGAAGTAGTTTTTCAACCGCTCGCTAGTTGTTTAGGCTAGTTGGCGAATTTTAGATGGGGAAAAAGTAGATAGATTCACCCCGTTCTACGTCCTCGTATTTATACTTTCCCTGCTTGCACCGCCTCTCCCCCCCTTTGTCACCTCCATTACTCCTTCCCGTCACCCTTCCTTGTCATTCCGTCCCTTACAGCTCCATATCCTGCTTACTCCGCCCGTTTACTGACTCAACCCGTCTTACCCCCTCATTCCCCGTCCGTTAGATGAGTCATCTCACCCTTCATCTTCCTTCCGCTCGTTATTTTATCGTCAGACCTTCCGACAGCTGCTTCCCCGTTTGTTATTTCCCGTTTGCTTCCCCCGCCGTTCGTTAATATGAGATTCCCCCCCCGTAATCGTTCCCCCCCGTGGCCTGGTGGCGTAACTGGTAACGCGCCGTCGAAAGATGCTTCCTGCACATTGAGTCTCGACGGAGTCCCTTGTTCGAATCAAGGTCACGGGCCCTGGGATAGGGCCAAGGGATTTTGCCGCAGCAGTGCCGCAGCGGCAGTCTGCGGCAGTCAAGTTCTGCGGCACATGTTGAAACTGCCGATGACGCACGGCGTTGGCCTTTCAACCTCGCCGGTGCATAGCGGGGAGGTTATAAGCTCCTATTACGTCGAATTGGAGCTGATTCTACTGCCGCGCGCGACGTTGGACATGCATTTTGACTTCATGCAGCGGCAGTATGCGGCAACCAAACACATGTAAATACTCTGCTGCGGCAGTCTGCAGCACTCTGCAGCGGCAAATTGGCACTTTTCTGCGGCAGTCAGGGTGCATGCTGCGGCACTTCTGCCTATGTCTGCGGCACTTTCAGCGCGTGACGCAGCGGCAATGTGACATGTTCGCGGCAATGTTCAACTTTGCTGCTGCCGCCGCCGATGCAGCAGTCCGAGCGTCAACACAAGTCTGCTGTGTATGATATCCTTAGTGATTCCCCAACGACATTTCCAACGCCATATGGCTCTTTTAATTCATTTTTTTCACGGCACGGACCACCAAACCACTTGGCTCATGCAGGTTGAAACTATTGTGCCGGACTCTCAAGTTCAATTTATATCGTTCAAGTCCAACACCATCGCCGTCATCTCCCTCGCCTTCGAAGTGCAAGTTATCAGAATACATTCATCGGCTAGCCGTCCTGAATTAGTGTTTGGTGATACTTTGGTCACTGAGAGGATTCGGCGAGCCTGCTCACCGTTGTGGTAGCACAGCCACGCTGCGGCAAAGTCCCCCTGCCATTCGAGGCAACTTTTCGGAATTGTGTTTCGAGATTTGGTCATAAAACAAGGCCGTTATGAATATAAAACACTGTGGCTCTGAAGAAACGGGCCTATCAAGATTCTCAAATCCAGCATTCGAAGTAAAGCCACCCAGCCAGAAACAAGTCTCGAATGATACCGGACAGGCAATGCAGCTGACCACTTCGAGCTCAGGATACTGTGGGGGCCCCACTGCTACTGTGGTATGACAGAAAACACCACTCACATGTTATTGATTCGTGAGTTCCGTCCGACAATTCAACTAACTTCCTACCTTGTAGTAACGTTCAACAGTGGCTGAGTGTGATCTTCGGTCAGCACATAACTCGGTGAGTTTTGGCAAGGAGATAAGTGACAGAAGCTCCTATGTGGGTCCTAACCGCCAAAATTCAAAGGCGGAATGAGTCTGGAGAGCACAGAATGAGGTGCCGGCCACTTGGACTGGCACCGTCGCGGAAGACCGGAGATGCCAAAAAATCGGGATTGCTTTTTACGCACCAAACGATGTGTTGAGCCATAATGTGTTTGTTATAAGTGCCATGTGATGCCCGGGGAATGACTTGGAGATGAGTAAATTGAAAAGCGGCAATACTTACATGTGTGACTCTGCGGCAGTGTGACAGTGCTGCGGCAGTCTTGTGGCAGTGCTGCTTGTTGCTGCGGCAGTCTGCGGCACTTACATAGGCACAGCGGCAAAATACCCGTGCCCCCTGGGATAGCGCTCCGATGCAGTTTTTTCTTTCTCATTCCTCGTCCATGGTCTAGTGGCGTAGTGGAGAACGCGCCGTCGTAACATTGAAGCTGTCCATCACATGTTTATGACGGAGACCCTTGTTCGAGTCAAGGCTGGACCATGGGCAGTCTTCTCGAGTTTTTCTTCGCCGTTCGATGTTATATTCTCGCATCTTGACTATTTTTGTTTCCCCTTTAACCGGACTAGTAGCGTAACGGTTAACGCGCCACTCAGAAATCGGATGGCTTCCGCTAGCATTTCTTGTGGAGATCCTCGTTCGATTCGAGGCTAGTGCATGGTCGGTCTTTTCGTGTGTTTTTTATTTTCCTCGCCGTTCAATGTTTTTCAATTCCCCCGTTTATCCGTTGGTTTGCAAGGGTTCCAAACGGGCTGGTGGCGCAACTGGTAGCGTGCTGTCACAGGGTACACAATTCCGGACTCTTTACAACGGAGGTCCTCGTTCGATCCGAGGTCAGCCCCTAGGAACAATAGGAACGACATTCTTTTTTCCCCGATCCTTGTCCATGGTCCAGTGGCGTAGTGGTTAACGCGTCGTCGGAAACATAAACCGTTCATCACATGTTCCCGACGGAGGTCCTTGTTCGAACCAAGGCTGGATCATGGGCGATCTAGACTTTTTACACCTTCGCTGTTCGTTGTTTTTCGGTTCTCTCGTGTGGTATGTTTTAGTTTCCCCTTTAACCGGCCTAGTAGCGTAACGGTTAACGCGCCACTCTGATATACGATGGTTGTTAGCATATTCTTGTGGAGTCCCTCGTTCGATTCGAGGCTAGGCCGTAGCGGGCAGATTAATGTGTTTTTTCCTCCGTTCGTTGTTCGTTTCTTTACTTTCGTTTGATGTTGGGTTCAGGTTGGAGCCCCGACGATGCTCCCCTCCGCATGACCCGATGGCGTAGCTGGTAGCGCATCGCAGGACCGTATATTTGTAGTTCGCCTTCGACCGCGAAGATCCCTGTTCGACTCAGGGTCGGGTCATGGATATTTATTTCCAAGTGGCTTTTTTATCCATGAAGAGCCCTTTCGAGGGAGTGAACCAGGGAGGGCGTATTGCCAGTTTTTGCTCAAATAAGAGCCTTCGGTATTTCGGCTGGTGGTTACTTTCTTCCGTTCGATAGCATTCAATAGCATTCGATATTGATTTATTCCGTTCGACGGCCACCTGGCTCAATTGGATAGAGCGTCAGACACTTAATCTGAAGGTTGCGAGTTCGACTCTCGTGGTGGGTTTTTGTCGTTCGTAAGGATTTCCGAAGAAGGGCAAGTGTAAGCCGTTCAATGTTCCTCCGTTCGATAGCGGAATATTTGCCGCGTAACGTCCGTTCCTGAGTGATCACGAAGTGAGCTCTCACACCGTGATTCCAAGCTGCAGACATGTGTGAACTATTTGAATTATGTTTCTCAAAATAACTCACCAGTTTGTTTTCACATTTTTCAGATATAGTCCTACAACAAACAGGAGGTTTTTACATGTCTCTTTCCCTGATTTTTGTCTCATCTTCTGCTGAAGAATGTGGTGAACCAGGTTTTGAATTTTTCACCCTCATTTTCAGGTGCAGATATGTATGAATTGCTAGTGAATACTCTTTTGATTTTTTTTCACTGCTATCTGCTGCGCAAACATAGCTGAAAACAGCATATAGATATTCACACACTTTCCGCTGAACATTGCACAAGAAAACACTGTGAAAAATGTGTGGAAACTGCCAAAACTGTTTTTCAAGTTTTACACTCAGTTTTCCAGGACATTCTTCTTCTATTCTTCAGATCTTTCTACAGAAGGAATGGAAGTGAAAAAGGTTTTACATTTTTCACCACAAGTTTCAGGTGCAATCATGCGTGAATTACAGCTAATGACAGTACCGAGGGCGCGAATCGAAAATTGCCGTTTTGGGCAGATTTTGATCCCTGCGAAAGAATTGGCTGTATCTCGCTGAGTTGGGCACATATGGACCTGAAAACTAGCCAGTTAATTCGGGCTAATTCGTGCACAATTAGTGATAGAGACAGCTTGAGCGACTCAGGGAGCTAACCTACACCTCTGGAGCATATACTATGTCCATAGTGACATGGTTTGTCCGCCAAACTCATCTACGTCGCATCTCAACTTGACCGTAAGCATTTAGCTATGGGATATGTAGCGGATCTGCACTACAATCTTTTACCCAAGCTGGCTCTATCACTAATTGCGCACGAATTAGCCCGAATTAACTGGCTAGTTTTCGGGTCCATATGTGCCCAACTCAGCGAGATACAGCCAATTCTTTCGCAGGGATCAAAATCTGCCCAAAACGGCAATTTTCGATTCGCGCCCTCGGTATATACTGTCATTAGCTGTAACAATGAAACTTATCTTACAGAAAACATCACCTTTATTTTGCATATTTTACCTCAATTAGCAGTTGGAAATGCCCTTTAAAACTTCTGGATTTTTCACCTATGTTTACGGTGGAAAGTTCGTGTAAAAATCATGATGAATCACTTTTTGAGCAAAATACAAACTTTGTTTCGAGTGTTTCATACCTATCGTGTTCTAAACGTTGCATAAATCAAAACGGAACAAAAAAACTTTTGTTGCGCAAAACTTTTTTTTACCACGGCTTGGATTCTCTCTGTGCTGCTTCCTGGTACGGTATATGCCATATGTGGACCTATTTTCGAAGGCAGAGGCACCGAAATCAAACTGCAGCATCAAGACAACACGACTCGGTGAATTTGATGGCTTTCGGAGATTTCCGGCCGGCACAATCTCTTGCACCCTGTGCCAAGATGTTCTGTACTTCAACTTCGAATGGGCATTCTCATTCTTCATTGCGCAGTTCGCAAAATTCGACCTGGTGAGATTTTGATGCCATCAAAGCTGGGGCCGAAGAGCGAGAAAATAAAAAAACCCCGACTGCGATAACAAAATATTTGGTGCAAAGTACCATCATGGCCAATTTGGGCTGGACTGCATGCTCCTTGCTATGAACTGGGATACATGCCGTGCTCAGCTCTGGCAGGTTCGAAAGATTCGCGGCCACCGGAAAGTCCCGGAACGATCAAAGTCTGTGATGGCACCAGTTGAAGCACCGTTTGTGATCTGTTTGCCCTATTCCTTTCAAAACTGATGTAAAGAGGTCATACACTGTGCAGGGATGCAGTCCAGAAAGAACTTGAGACTTGAGAAAAAAAAAGTTCCGAGCACTAAAGTTTTTTGTTCCGTCTTGATTTATGCAACGTTTAGAACACGATACATACCAGTCTGTGGTGACAAATGTCGTAAAAATGTCTTGAATTTTTCAGACAATTTTTCGGCAAAAAACTTCTGTGTTATGTCATGTATTTTTTGCCCATTACTCTGGTGAATTATCTGAGTTTTTCAACCAGTGTCGCAACCAAGGAATATATGTTTTCACAATTTCTGGTTTGAGTTCACCCCAAATATTGCAGACCATGTGGCAGGATAACCCCAATGCTCGTTCACGGTCATTGTCAAAAATATATTGTACTTGACAGGCTTCTTCAAGGACAGAGCTGTAACCTTCGCTTACAGCCTTCATTTCAGATTCATAGTATCGGCTAAGGAAGATTGTGTTGTATGGGCTGAAGAAGATTGTGATCCAGGAGCATAGTTCCGCGAGGACGTGAGGCTTCCAGCAAGGGATTGGACCAGCTTGCAGCCCATGCGAATACATGAGACCGTAGAACATCAGGGGTTTCACAAATGCCTTGGCGGGCAATGCACATAATGGATGACCAAACGGAGGCACCTTGAAGTGGTGGTTGCAACTGTTCATCCTGGAACCGCGGGAACTGATCTGCCTGTACCAAAACAGTGGCAGCCTTTTCTGAGGGAGGACCGGGAAACGTCATGGCTCGGAGAAGGATTTGTATGTGTTTCTTCCCAACTGGAGCACCATAATCGAGGAGGGCAGCAAGGAGGGCAGCAACCCCCTTTGTGGTTGTGTCATCCCAGTCACCTTCTATGGTATTAATACATATTACAGTCCAGTGCGTCATGTATCCAACCGGCGTCTTCAGGGCAACAAATTTGATGATCTGTTCCTGAAGAAAGCTCTGCCGCGCTGCACTTCCTTGGTGCAGGCACGCTACGCCGGAGCCTGTCCGCATCAATGTGTTCTAGGCGGTTATCAAGTGTTGTCAGTATGGCATCAATCCATCCTTGCCAGCGAGGCAAGGAGTTGCAGAATGAGTAGATAGTGGATTGGTATTGTTGTTCAAAAGATGAGGTGGACCACCAGTCAGAGTACAGAACAATTCGGCATGTCATTCTGACAATGCTGACTGCATTGTCCATCGGTATTTGATTGCTTTGAATATGGAACACCAACATGCGGAATAGGTGTTCAAACAATGGTTTTACCAATGGGCTAAGTTGTAATGAATGATGGATTCTCCAGGTTCATATGGCTTGTTTCTTACCTCTTGTCCTTCAATGTGATTCCATGGTTGCTTCGAGCCAGAAATGCGACAACAGAGAATAGGTAATCTGCCAGGGCGACTGTGTCTAGCCTCGGAACTGTTTCGCCGAGGTCTAGATCCCCAAAATACAGATACCACGGAACAGAGCTAGATCTGCCAAAATATGCTTTTGCCTGCCACAGGGATGGAGTAACAGTCAAAGCCCATGTGATGGTGTTGACATCCGAGCGTAAAATGGAGCATACACTGGAACGGTGTGCTAGGGGTTGAACAACACTGTCCAGTTCATTGTTGTTGTCCTGATACCATCTCGGCAAGAAAAAGCACCAAGAGTCGTGCCATCTTTGAGGAGTGGAATCCCCAGACATCAGGATGCAACACAGCGTGCAATAGGCTCTGGCCAGATGAATTGCATTGGTGGACATTCCGTCGCGAGCATCATTCAATCCGAATTCTCCCGGATAATCTGGAGAGATGAAATGCTCGAAGCACGACAAAATCCCATCACACAACCTGGAGAGCTGTGGCCTAACATCAATGCCACTGGGCCACTGCAGGTCGATGACCATCTCTGCAGCAGTTGCTTACTGTATGGGGATCTGTCGACATCTCCGATACCCATAATATAGCAGGCACTTCTGGTGATGCTGTTGGAAACTCCTTGAAGATTGTGTCAAGGGATGGTAGCTTCTTCATTTTGGATCAAGGGACATTTTCTCCGTCATTTCCGGTGAAATGTTGTCATCTTTGGAAAGTGGTAGATGATGGATCCGACGGCCGTGTCGGGAAGCAACATAGCTAGATATGAGTGTAACTCTACTGAGGAATAATTTCGACTTCATCCAAAGTGTCTTTGGGTGTAGTTGTGCCACAAGGGGTGCAAGTGGGGTTTGGAACGGAGAGTCGGGAGAGGCAATGGCGGATAGAAGCAGGGTGGTATATGCGATGGATCCGATGGCCGTGAAGGAAAGAACAATAACTGCAAGGGATAGATGGATCTTCCAGAGATAGATCGAGAGTGCCGCCGAGAAGAGGAACAAGCCGATATGCAACAGCAAGGGAAACATTTGCATGACAGCGTCGAATTTCCACTTGCAAAGCCCATCAAGTTTGCGCTGGCGCTCGAGGCCACGGGCTTCGATGGTCCCTCGCTCGCCGGCGGCCATGTAATACATAAGCCACTGTTTTCCCAGCACGGCGAGAAGAGCAGCCGGCAGGGTTGAGAAGAGGCTGACATAGAGCAGATTCTGGGCAACCGGAATAATGAGAGGTGTGCCGTGAGGCTGGATATCGGGTTGGATTTGAATTATGAAAGCGGAATCTACCCGAAAAAAGACCGGCCTGCAGAAGTTATT